TCTTTAAGGTCCACGTTTCTGATGCATATGTGGCTATGGGAAAAATGAGTGACCAGCATTAGTTTTGTGTGTATTGTTATGCTAGAATTTTTCCAAATTGTTACCAGTTTCATCATAGCTGTTCTAGCAATAGTCACCTTCTACGTATCTCTCGTCATCACCCTCCGTCATTTGTTATTAGGGACCCCAGGTATATGAAACTATTTACTACTTCAAAGCCCCCAATTTCTTTAATGTGTTGAAGATTATTCCGAGCTCTGTCTACTATCATGACCTTTGTCTTACTCCTATTTAGCTTTAGTCCATATGTTTTGCTTTTCTCCTCCAGACATCTCATTATGTCTTCCATTTCTTCTTGATTTGCCGCGATTATTAAAGTGTCATCAGCATATCTCAAGTTACTGATTTTTTGACCTACTAATGATATTCCATCAGTCTAGTACCTTTCGCATAATGTGTTCGCTGTAAATATTAAACAGAGTTGGAGAGATTATGCATCCCTGCCTGACACCTGCCTCTCTATTTTCAAATAGACTTCTAATTAGTTTAATTAAGTGGTGGGGTGTTCCCATTTCCGCTAGTATGGACTATAGTTGCTGCCATTTGACTTTATCGAAGGCCTTTGTGCAATCCACAAAGCACATAAGCATAGGAGTATTGAATTCACGAGTTTTTTCGATTAGCTGTCTGACATTAAGGATGTGTTTGTTCTCTTGTGCCTTTTCCTGGGACAAATCCCCCTTGTTCTGATATCTGAGGCAATAGAAAAGCTTTTAGTCTTTCATGTATTACATGAAGTATAACCTTGCTTGCATGGGATATTAGGGTTACCGTTCTGTAGTTGCTGCAATCTAGCGGAGTTCCTTTTTTTACTCCAACATCTCAGTTTCTTTTAAAACTTCTGCGGTGATCTGGTCTGCGCCAGGAGATTTTCTATTTTTTAACTTTTTTATTGCTTTGTCTACCTCTTACTTTATAATGTTTGGTTCTCTCTGCAGTGAACTCTCAAAGGCATAAGGTATAAAATCGTGGTTGAACTTCGTAGGAAATCAGCCGGTTTAATACTGATGCATACTCTTGACGTAACTTTTTGAAGGGCTTTAGGAGGACTGAAGTTGGTGGCTATTCGCAGAATTGTCTTCGTCTAACTCTAGGCCTTCTTAGTTCGTTGTTATTTCAGCTTTTTTAGCTTCTCTTTCTTTTTAAATTAATTTTCTTGTACAGTTACTCCTTCATAATATTTTATCTTTATATTAACGAGTGTTATAAATTAGTAATTCCCTGTTTTTTTTTTTATTTCAAAACTATTTACTTCTCAAAATTTTCGTAAATAAAATGTTCATAAATAAGCACATCGTGCATTTAACTTTAAATATTTTGTGCGCCTCTTTTTAAAACGATTGGTAAAAGTAATATGTTGTAAATTTTTTTCTTTATTATTTATAAAATAAACTGCATTATCAATTCCTGGAGTCTAGTTTCGTGGTAATAATTTGTATATAAAAACAACACGATAAATATTTTGGTCAAGTTACGTCATTTAATGCTGATATTCTTCATTCAACAATTTTATAAATTGTAATTTCTAATAATATGTAGATTCTAATACAGGATGTTACATACAGTTTCTTGAAATAAACAAATCACAATAAATGATTGTAATTCTCCAAAGTAGATGTTTTCTGGATAATCATGTAGCAAAATATCGGAATGGCATCACACTTTTAGTCATATGTTATTAGTCAATGATGACTACAGACTAAGTCTGCATTCATTCATGTATTAAGCTTTAAAATCCCTAGAGATATAGCTAATTCCATGTCATTAAAAATCCTATTCCACCATCGTCGGATGTAATCCTCCCTTAAGTAATTTCTGTTCGTTGTTTTTTGCATTAATTCGTGGCCAGCCGTTGGCTTGATTTTCTTCTTTGAGGTCTGCCTCTACTGATTTGCTTTTGGTAGCCATTCAACAATTCGCTTTGTCCAACGGTTGTCTTTCATTCTTCCTATATGTGGGGCCCAGTTCCATTTTAAGATAGCAATCTTTTAGTTATTTTGTTCATCTTGTATGCAATGAGTACTACGCGAAATAAGAACAACTCTAAGTGAAGACAATATAGTATTAGAATTGATAAAGTACGGAGGACAGCAGAAATAAAAATGTTAAAAATTATTTTTTTTATTCTCGATTCGATATTCACGGTTAAAGAACACAATGTGTTTAAAAAAACTTACAGAAAAGTAAAAACTTCTTGTATGATGGTATATTTTATTAGAATATTAAAATTTATTCAAAAATCTTTCAAATCTTAAAACGTTTTCGTTCTAGTCGGACCATCATCAGTAAAACCTAAAAGTATTTCGTTTTTAAAATGACACAAACATAAGGTAAAATTTTTACTGTCAAAACATATGGAAAATAATTCATGGAATAGATAACACGAATGAAACTACCTTCTACACAATAAGGTAATGGAAATAACTAGTACAATAAACCTGAAAATAAACTGAGATGAATTTTTTTTTAACCTGTTCTCTATCCTTCCATTGTTGGATATAGGTCTCCCCAGTTCTCTCCATCTTTCCCTATCTTGAGCTGTTCTCTGCCATGTGGGACCTCCTTGTTTCCTGATGTCATCTTTCCACCTCATCTGTGGTCTGCCTCTTGATCTCTTTGCATTGTATGGACGCCACTTTCCGATGGCATTGTTCCATCGTCCGTCTTGGAGACGTTCATTGTGTCCAGACCATTTCCATTTCAGTTTTGCTGCTTGTTCTATCGCGTCTACTGTCTTTGTTCTGGTTCTGATCCACTGGTTACGTTTTCTATCTCTAAGTGATACACCCAACATTTGTCTCTCCATCGCTCTTTGTGCCTTCCTTATCCTATCCAAATTGGCCTGTTTAAATGTCCATGTCTGTGCTCCGTAGGTGAGCACCGGTATGATACAGGAGTTATATACCTTGCTTCGTAAGTATAGAGGATTGTTTGATTTTTTAGAACGTAAGAAAGTTTGCCGAACGCTGCCCATCCCATTCCTACTCGTCTCGATATTTCGGCTGTTTGATTTTCTCTATTAGCTCTGATTGCTTGTCCTAGATAGATATACTCATTTACCTGTTCTATTTTTTCTGTTTTTATTTTTATTGCCTCTTGGTCTTCCGTGTTTGTCATTACTTTTGTTTTGTTGAAGTTAATTTTTAGGCCTTTTTGCAGTGATTTTTCATGAAGTTCATTCAGCATTAATTCCAGTTCTTGTCGTTCCGAGGAGATCAGGAGTATGTCATCCGCATATCTAAGGTGATTTAGGTATTTTCCGTTAATACATATTCCTCTGTTTTCCCAATCTGTTGATTTTATTATGTCTTCGAGGGTCAAGGTAAACAGTTTAGGTGAAATTATATCGCCTTGTCGGACTTCTCGTTTAACTTTTTATATTATCCGTTATTAATTTGTCGTCCAGAATTACGGTCATGGTTGCGTTTTGGTAAATATCATGTATCAATTGTCGGTATCTTGAATCTATTCTACTATTGACCAGAGCTTCTTCAACCGCCCAGTTGAAGAAGCTTTGAGAAGCTCTGAGATGAATAGAAATATACAAAATTGGAAACCAGAACAACTTGAGGAACAAATCTCTTAAAATAAAAACTAAACAATAAATAGAGAAATTATAAAACAGAAATATGAGGATATGGAAAAGAAGAAAATGAACCAACAGCAGAGACACAACAACAAATGATACAAAACAGAAAAGGAAAAACAGACAGCTAAATATCTTCAGATTCAGTATGAATCATCGTTTTTGTATGCTAGAGAATCGTTTCAGGAAAATCCCTCATCTTCAGTTTAGCGTCGAAGAATTCTTTCCTTCCCGTTGCTATGCACGCGGCGCGCTTCAATATTGTCTTCTTCTTTTTAGAGTGCCGTCTTTTTACGGAGGTTGGCAATGGTAATGGCTATTTTGATTTTTGAACTTGCTGCTCTAAACAAATCAATCGATTTGCATGATACCAATCACGTAGATTCTTCAACCAAAAATTCTGTCTTCGGCTAACAGATCTATTCCTTAAATCTTTCCCTGTATTATGAGTCCTCTCATCACGTGGCGTAGGTATTCCAGCTTTCTTGTTTGTATAGTGATGATTAGTTCTATTCCTTTACCAACCCCAGTACTTCTTTATTTGTAATTTTATCAGTCTATGATATTTTTAATACTCTGCGGTGTAGCCTGACTTCAAAAGCCTCGATTCTTTTTAAATTGCATTTTTTTAATGTCACAGGTCTCAGATCCATATAATAATAAAATATATAACATATAATGGTACGTATTTCTGCACGTTAGGATTGGCTTTATTTCAATTATATCCAATCATATTCAATATATTGGCAAAGTTCCCCAGTACTGATATTTTTCTACTACGTTACCATTTATTGTCAATATGTTGTACATTTTGTATTTTGTATTTTTTATAATTAGTAATTGTAATACTGTCCTCGCTACCTGCCAATTACTCATTTCATTAAGGAACGACAAGTGGTTGTCTGAACTTGACAAACATATGAATATGCAAATTTTAACAAGAGAATTTTAAAGCAGATAATCAAGATACACAATGACATAAGTAAACAAAATATATAACTGAATAATGCCATATTATTTTAAAACTGTAAGAATATTAATAATGACATATTTCGGTAGGCACTAAATACTTTTCCAAATATGTAGTGTGTTCGTCAATTCTGGAGGAAATTCGTCAGTTGTTTTGTCCTATATATTTTTGACTACAATGTTCGCAGGATATGCCGGGGTTTCGCAGGAGATGCCAATGAGACAATGACATTTGCAAATCATTTAAAAACATCTGAATATCTGTAAACGACATAAAGATGGTGACATTTTTATATTTGTACCTTATAAAAGTAAATTTTATCACTTAAGTAAAATCGTCCAAGTTTGCAATGAAATATTTACTTACATATTCCTTTCATTTCAGAAAGCTCCATCTACTATCCGTTTTTTCAACCGAACTGAATTTTACTCTCTCCATGGAGACGACACCGCAGTGGCCGTGGAATGTACTTGCGCCAGAGTCAAATACATGGGTATGGAGCCACAGCTCAGCTACGTCACACTCAGCAAGGGTCAGTTCGAGATATTTCTGAGAGAACTGCTTTTAGTAAGACAGTACAGGGTTGAAGTGTATGTTAAAAAGGCCACCAAAAGTAATCAGTGGCAGTTAGAATATAAGGGCTCTCCTGGTAATCTGAGTCAGTTCGAAGATTTATTGTTTGAAAATACGTCCATAAAGTTCAATAATGCTGTTATGTGTTTGAAGGTTTTCGCCAATAGGGTAAGATTTATGTATATTTTAGGATCAACAAACGTTCAAAAGAGTTAAAAATTAAATTTTTAAAACAATAAACTTTTGAAACGGATAGACACTACAAGAAGAACGACTTCGTCATTTGTTTTTTTTGCAGTCTAATTTAAAATTTTTAAAATTCTCCGGTCCATCCACATTTCAAATGCCTACACATTTCGACTCGATAGAGAACCACAAATGAAACAAAACATTTTACAAGTTTTAATACTAGTTTGATTTATCGATAGTCGGTCAGATAGCTCAGCGGGCTGTGCGGCTGCCTCTCATTCGCTTCACTGTCGAATGGTTTAGTGGATGTGGGTCGAGCCCCAGCTCGGTGTACAGAAAACAAAAAGTCTAACGCCGCAGTTTAAAATTCTAGATGAATCTGCGGCTTAGACTAGGATATACTGGGTTCTGATCGGCCTATGGTGGAGCAGTACGGCAAGAGATAAGGGCTTGCGGCTCGGTGATACTCCTCCGTAGATCCTACCGGACGGGCGTAACGCCTAAAAAACCGGATATATATATATATATATATATATATATATATATATATATATATATATATATATATATATATATATTTATCGATATATGTATAGCAAAGTAGACTAGGAAGGACTAAGAAACTAATTCTAGCTTGAGATATTCTTGCTTCAACTTCTTGTTGAGGGTCAAGCTTGTAGTTAATCCATCAGCCAAGGTGTTTGTAATGGTTTATCTGTTCTTATATCTTCCCATTTATCATTATAGTTAAAGGCACATTCTGTCTCTTTTGGATTACCATTATCTTGTTTTTTTTTTTGTTAATCTTCATTCTAAGCTCTTGACAAGCATCATTAAGTAGGTCTAAGACTCTTGTAAGTTCGTGTCTGCATCAGTTAATAGGGCAGTGTCATCTACATCTCTTATATTACAAATTCGTTCTCCATTCATTCTTGTTATTGTAGGAGGTTTACCTGGAAAGGAGTACTGGGTTAAAATTATTGTTATTGATATTGTACCCGTAAGTAAGAAATGAACTGTTCCAACGAGAAACATATAGTGTTGAGTATCGTACCACTTACGATAAATAATTTTCATTCTTTCATTTCATTTCAAAATTTAGTGATTGCTTATATGTTTTAGTTGTTGGCGGTTGCTTGTATTAATATTTCCGAATGTAAGTTTGAAGTTTGCGAATTAACCGATAACGATACGTTCTCCGAATTGGAAAGTTTAATTGCTCAAATCGGACCCAAGGAATGTATTTTGCCAACAGGATCGACTCCCGATCTCGTTACGATAAAGAAACTTTTGGAACGAACTGGTAAGTGTACTTAATTAACAATTTTTTAATATTTACTGAAATAATCGTAACATATTGGATATTCAAATGACTGCTGATAGTTTAAAGAGAAAGTGTAGTGTAGCAAATGAAGACCCGAAATCAAACATAAAAAGGAAAAGAATAAATGGACAAAACACCAGAATCAGTAAAAGAAAAATCAAGGGAATATTATGAAAACTAACAAAAAAAAGTGACAAAAAATCATCCAGTAATACTGAATTTATTAAAATAATTTTTTGTAACCATGTCACATATCTATTCTCCAGAGACAAAAACCGCAAAAAGAACCGTAAAGAACAGATAATTGGCTTACTTTGGCCACATTATCCGTGATAATAAATATCGCTTTCTACAGTTGAATCTATAAGGCAAGATTAAGGGCAAGATTTGCTCCAGTTATGTTTTGCTTGCTGATGATCATTAGCTTGGTTTTGCTGGTGTTTATATCCAGTCCATAGGTTCTACTTGTTTCTGTTATTTTGTTCATTAAGTTTTGCAGCCCTTCTATGGTATTGGAAAACACTATTGTATCATCTGCATACCGCAGGTTATTAAGCTTGACTCCATTTATTGAGATGCCTTCATCAATATCTTTTAGGGCCTCTTCAAAAATGTGCTCCGAGTACAGATTAAATATCAATGGTGAAATTATGCACCCCTGTCTCACTCCTCTTAAGATTTTGACGTGTTCTGTATATTCTCCATCTATTCGGAGTACCGAATAAAGCTTCCCTCGTACCAACGGCGTTCACAAATCTAAACTGATTGGGCGCAATTTGTTCCTCGCATTTCCGGTAAATTCTTTTGTGGATGACCTTTAAAAACAGCTTCAGCAGATGGCTCATTAGGCTTATTGTCCTATAATCTTCACAAACTTTTGCTCCTGGTTTTTTGGGCAATGGTACGAACTCCGATTTGAGCCACTTTACTGGTATTTTTCTTGCCTTGTATATTTCATTAAATATGTCAGTTATTATTTTTATTTGTTCTGATCTAATAGCGTCAGCAGTTCTGCAGGAATTTCATTAAGTCCCGGTGTCTTTCCATCCTTCATTTGTCTGACGGCTGCCGTTATTTCTTCTGGTAGGATTTCGGGACCTGAATTTTTTCAACGGCGGGCTCTTGTACTTTTCTAAGGTCATGGAAAAGTTTCCCCAAGTATTCTTCCCATACTTTTTTTTATCTTCTTTGGTTATGGTAAGATTGCCTTCATTATTTGTTATTTTTCCGCTGTTGCGTTTTCGAAACTTTCCTTCACCTTCCGATGAACATTGAAGTTATCATATCGACTCTGATACTCTTCTATTTCTTGACATTGTTCTGTTTTTTGTTCCTCTTTGGCTTCTCTTATTTTTCTTCTGACGATGGTATGTATTCTCTTATATTCTTGGAGATTTTCTTTGTTTTTTTTCTCTGATCCATAAAAGCTCAAGTATTTCATCGGTCATCCACGATTTGCGTTTCTCTGTGTCTTTCTTCAGGTGTTGTTCTTTTATTTCTCTCACTGTTTCTTGTATGATGGTCAGACTTTCCTCTATAGTTTCTGCATTTTTGCATGTTAGCACCCTTGTATTGAGGTTTTCACTCACCTTCAGTCAAACATTGGGATCTTTCAGTTTTCTAAAATCATACTTCTTCATCTCCAACATCATTAGAATTTAATTACTATTTTCGTTGGGAATAATCCACAATATAAGTTTAAAATAAGTTTATTTTTGACGATTCGATTTCCGCTTCAGAAATCGTCCTCAAAATACAAACTCTGCAGTGGTGAAAAACAACTAAAAGTCCAAAAAAAATTTGGTATACCTCTAAATCTTCGTAACAATATATAAAAAAATGTTTAACCAAAAAATTATCTTTTTTCCAATTTAGAAAGTAAACCCCTTAGTAGTCCACTAAAGCAACACATAAAAAAATTAAGAAATTCTTATTTTCGTTGTAGAATGTATTCGAAATGAGCTCCCATAACGTCAACACAGGGTTGAAGACGGTTTTGAAATGATTTAGTTACGTTTGTAAGAATTTGTGGCGTAACATTATAAAATGCGTGCCTAAATCTGATCTTTATGTCAATGAATAATTATTGTTGTTGGAGGGTCATGGTGCACTAGATCTTTAATGTAGCCCCAGAAGAAGCAGTCGACTTTACTTAATTACGGTGATCTAGCTGGCCAATGAATTGGTCCGTCTCTTCCTATGTAGCCATTAGGAAATTTCTCATTGAATTCATGTTGGATGAACATTGGATGGTGTTTTGATGACCAGAAGCTCGGTTATGTAAGTACCATAATTGTTGACGAATGTTGAGTGGTACTTTTTCAAGAAAAATAGGTAAATGTTTAACCAAAATGTCTAAATAAACCTCTCCGTTTTCTATTTCCTCAAAGACGAAAAGACCTACTACATAATATACCATTCCAAACGTTTAAGGACCACCTAGTTTTATTCTTTGTAATTATGTACATTTGTACATATGTACATAAAAAACTTTGCTTCTTTGTACAATTAATTTTTGTTGTGGTATGGTTGCATGTGGTCTCGAATGAATTTTCTGAATAAATCCGTCACTATAATGTCTTGCACTCTTAAAATATTTCGGATAGTTGTATAAGAATGATCAGTAATGACCAGTGAAACACTAAATTAAACATAAAACACTGAATAATTGCGTTGAATCTGTTCACTACATTTTGAAATGCTCCCCTTACTAGAGACTTTTGCTGCAAGTAAACAGTTCTTATTACATTTAGCTTATATTCATACCTTCTGTAGCAGTTCTTCTCCTTCAAAATTCAGTGTTGGCTGTTGACAATGTTAAAACAATTTGATTTACAGCTGAATAGTCAATTTGTGAAATTATGAAACTTACCTTCATATCAATCTTGATTTTAATGATATAGGAACTCATTTATAAAATCATAATTTCTTTATAAAATTTATTATTAGTAAAGTTAATAAAAATAATAAATTTAATACCCCTTATGTCGCTACAATTTAAAACACCTATAAAACTGTTAAGTATATTCATAGGAAATACTTAGGAAAAAATAAACTACATTGATTTTATGATGCATAATGAATTTGTGTTTTGACTTACCCAGTATTAGATAAGCGCATTAACAAAATTAATAATTTGTATGAATTTTTCCTATCATACTGCCCCACTAAACAAAAAGGGAGTGTCGTAAGTTTTTTCCAACAAAGATATATGAATGTTTAGTCATTAAATACATCTTCATATGTGCTCCAAAGTCAGTGAGAAACAGTGGATCTGTACCTATGTAATACAAAAAATATATCATATTTCAACCCACCGATATCTCATTATTACATAGAGGGCGTTCAACTTGTTACGATTTTGAGTGAAATTTGTTTATCCTGTATAACAGAAAACAACTTTTTATTCTTGTAAGAAAGAAGTGAAGTGGATTTTAAATTTAAGATAATACACAGGGTGTTTTATTTACAAAATATCTATGATGTGTTTTGGAGGACACTGTATATTTGTAACTAATTTTAAAATGTGAAGCTTATAACCATCTATTTTTATAAGTAACTTTTTTGGTATCTCGTTTAATAACAGATGTGACGGACTTTCACAAAAGTTAATCACTCTACAAGTCTTCATGTTGTGGGTTGCTTCGTGATTTAAGTACACTCCAATTAAGAGTTTATAAATATTTAATATTCTCTATCGGACTATAATTTAGCATGTGTCTAAAACTGACAATAATGATATTTTGGAATGTAATTGGACCAAACTACCACCTGTTCCTATTTATATTTAATTAGTTTATGGTTCGCAAAAAGAAAATAAAATTAGGAAAATAATTTTTATTTGACAAACTTTTAATAATCTGTGTAATCAGTGCAAATTATAGTTGTTTAAATTCTCTTCATTTATTATTTTTTTTGCAAATTTTCTGTATTGTGTAATAAGGTCCGCAAACAAAGCTACACCAGCCTTAATGTCGAAATTAAAGAAAATGTTACGTCGTCGACTGACACCTAAATAACATAATACGATTTACACGATATAAAAAAAACACTGAAAGCCATTGAAAGTTTTCTATCTACGGGAAATTAGCATTAGAGTATTTTAATATTTTACATCTATTGAAACACATACAAGTACCAATTGAAAAATATAAAATCTGATGAATTATTACACGACCTCTCTCTTTAGTCCTGACCCTGGAGGGAGTGTAGGTGTCGTCTATGTTCTGTCTCCAAAGATCTCTCTTTCTCTCTCTTTCTATCTCTTTCTCTCTCTATTTCTCCCTTTTTCTCTCTTTCTATCTCTTTCTCTCTCTTTCTCTCCCTTTCTCTCTTGCTCTCTCTCTCTCTCTCTCTCTCTCTCTCTCTCTCTCTCTCTCTCTTAATGCATGCATTGATCTATTGAATATTTCTGTAATTTGGTCGATCCATCTTTTTGGGGATCTTCCTTGTGATCTTCGGCCTACTACTTTTTCTTGGATGATGTGTCTCTCCATTTTTTCTGTGCGATCTCATAAAATTTCCAAAGTATGTTAATTGTTGGAGATCGACTTTGCTGGATAGTCGTTTACTGATTTTTTACACAGAAAATTTCAGTCGCGTCTATCTTCCTTACTTCAGATTGTCTCGGAGTCCAAGATTCGCATCCTTATGCCAGTATGTGGAATATTCAGCAGTTAATCAACCTCATTTTTAGAGCTTGTTTAATTTGGGGGTGCTTCCATGTTTTTGACCATCTTTCCTACGGCGATCTTTGCTAGATCACATGTACGTTTTATCTCCTCCTGTAGTGACCCTCTATTTGTGACCAATGATCCCAGATACAAGTACAATGGTACCTCGATATCTGAGTGCCCTAATATACGAGTGTTTCGATATACGAGTCGCCGAGCGAGTGATACTTTTCTTTGAGGTGGAACCAAGGTTTAAGATACGAATCATCGTACACTACACCACTGCACACGACCCAAACACTCGCCCCGTATGTTTGAGCCGTGTGCAGCGTCTAACAGTTTCTCTCACCTCAGACTAGACCTCAGTCTGTGTGCTTGTTTCCCTCGTTTTCGAAGCATTTTTGATTAGTTGGGTTCGCGTTTTTTGCTTTTTCGATATTTACAAAACGTTATAACATTTATTTTTATAACCATGAAGGATAATGGAAGGATCAATGAAGGATAAATTAACTCTAGCACTTTGCGCAAATGCAGTGGCTACTGCGAAATCAAGCCTCTACTTGTATACCATTCGAAATTGTATCCCAGAGCCTTTAAGTCACATGAGATTTTAAAAGAAAAACTGTAAGTTATGTCGATCACCAGAAAATTATGTATGAAATGGATAAACCTGGTGTTTGGCCCTTCTGTTAAAAACTATCTACAGGAAAATAACTTACCCTTCTCGTCCTCAACAATACCCTTGCTGACCCAACTAATCTCGACGATGATTTACTCCAAGAGTTCAAGTTTATAGAGGTTTTCTACCTACCACCCAATACCAACATTGGGTTTTATCTCACGTGTAATAAAAATTGTGCTATTACTCATTTTAAAATGTACTATAGAGAATGTTTCTGTGGGAAAATCAATACAAAAAAGCAAAAGTAATATACAGAACAAAGTTGAATTTAGTTAACAAAATAAAAGTGTAATTTTTTTGTAAAAAACTTATACATAAGTAAAAAACTTCAAAATTTGTATCTTGGTATAAAAACATTTAATTTAAAACTTGTTAAAAGTGTCGTCCAAAATTTGTAGATACATCACTTTTCGATCTAGCTCAGATTATCCTCAGTGCCTTCTTTTGGTACTTGTAGCTAACACTAAAATTGCAGTGAAGACATCAATATATGGTTTTACATATTTAAATTTAAATTATAATGCGACCCTAGGTTCTTGTCTGTTGTTAAAAAGACACAGACCAACTCAAGTTCACATATTGATGTCTCCACTGCAATTTTAGTGTTAGCTACAAGTACCAAAAGAAGGCACTGAGGATGATCTGAGCTTGATCCAAAACGTTATGTATCTACAAATTTTGGACGACACTTTTAACAAGTTTTAAATTAAATATTTTTATACCAAGATACAAATTTTGAAGTATTTTACTTATGTATAAGTTTTTTACAAAAAAATTACACTTTTATTTTGTTAACTAAATTCAACTTTGTTCTGTATATTGCTTTCGCTTTTTTGCATTGATTTTCCCACAGAAACATTCTCTATAGTACATTTTAAACTGAGTAATAGCACAATTTTTGGACGACAAAATAAAATAAAAAATAACAAAAGAACTATAAATTTTGGACGACACTTTTTACAATTTTACAAATTTTAAATTAAATGTTTTTATACCAATATACAAACTTTTAAGTTTTTTACTTCTGTATAAGTTTTTTAACTATGGTATACAGCCAACTACTGGGATTTTCCCATTAATTTTTAATTATTTTGTATTTCATACATATATTTGGGTTTGAGGTCGGAAATTTATAAATTAAGTAATGCACTACGTTTTCAGGAATTATGGTATCACAAGTCAAGAATACAGATTTCACTGACGAAGATCTCGGACAGGACCTAAACCGGCTTTTGTACTTTGCCGAAGGCCAACAGAGAAACGCTTTCTCTTTTCACGAAACAAACCTTAAAAATGCCATGTGTTGTCTACAGGCAGGTATCAAATTTTTCGAGATTAGTCAAGATGAAAAGAATTTCAATCAGTTCAAGATTAGTACGTTGGATACCAAGAGGTAAGTAAAGCATAGCCAATTTAGATAGTGTTTTTGTGTGCTTATCTTATTTTCTTTAAATTTGTGTTTTAATGAAAGCAACTAAGTATCTCTAAACGGTAGATTATATGTATATTTATTTTGAATTTCTTGAATGTTCGTGACTAACCACCCAAAAGAAAGCTTTTTGCATGGTCTAGATCAATTAATTTTTTTTTTTGATGACTCGTCACAATACTATAAATTATTATAGACAAAATTTTTGTTAATAGATTTGTTAGAATCGACAATGCAGCTCTATATGCTCTCAACGTTTTGCCCAAACCCACACCTGGTAGCAACAAGATCAGTAAATCCACAAACACTTCATGTTTAAAGGGACTTTTGGATCACTGTATCACTGCACAAGGTAGCAGGTTACTGGAACAGTGGATAAAGCAACCTCTAAAAGATTATCTGGCTATTAATGAACGACTAGAAATTGTAGAGACGATTGCGAAGAATTCCGATGTCCGAACGCAGTTAACAAAGGATTGGCTTCCTCGAGTAACTGATTTGATACCTTTGTCGAGAAAAGTTGCATCAAAGAAAGCAAGGCTTCAGGATTGTTACAAGGTATTGTACTTTATGTCGAAATGAGTTTTTAAACTGTATTAATATAATTTAGAAATTATAAGTAGCATACTCAAACTAAACAAATAAAAAATGTCTAGCCAATATGCTTATTATTCCCCGCTTTTATTTACAGTTTTAAATTAATCAGTCAATTGCAGTGTTTTATGTTCGTTATGACCGATATGAACATTTTGTTCATATCGCTGAAACACATTAACTTCTTTAAGCTGCAACTACATCTCGAAAAGGTCGATATGTGATAATATTAGCTGGTCGAATTGTTCGTACAACTACACGCTACAACTCCGTGAGGTTTTGGTACAGATCATAACTTAAATGTATTTGAGTGAACTGAAAAATAGACTACAAAATGATGACTTGCACGCCAGACGTTCATTGAATGTTCTCATGGTACGTATGACAATAACGGATTAAGGCTAAGGTGGAACAACATATGCACTAGTTGAAATGATTTGTCTCTATTCTGATTCAATTATCTTGGACAACCAAGACCTAGACACGTATATAATATTCGTTCATATGATCGTCTAGTTGTGATATGTGCTGAAATAATTTGTCATCATCGAATTGTTCTCGTTTTTGTGGAAAGTACTTTGAATTAGTATCATTGTATTGACAGTATAGAACGTGTCAATCTTCCATGTGCCACTACTGGTGTCTTGATTTACGTTATATGCAGGCTAATGCAAGGCATATACTGCGACAATTTAAAAGTTGCTTTGATAATTGGTCTTCTGTCATGAGCAGCATGATATTCTTGACTTTGTAATTTACAAGGGAATCCCTAAAAATTGCTTGCTGGCAAACTATTGTCTTGAATTATCTTCTGACTATTCTCCTGTTAGAACTCACAGTCAGTCATCATTTTCGTGAATATGTCGGATCTACATATTCCTCTACAAACCAATGCTGATTTAAACAACACGGCGGAACATTTTAAAAGATCAGTTCAGGATGCAATATTAGACACAACCCCAAGCGGAGAATCAACTAGCACACATCAAAAACTGCATTCGTTCTTCTTCTTTTAGTGCCTATCCGTTTCGGATGTTGGCGACCACCATGGCAATCTGTATTTTGCAAATTGCTGCTCTGAAAAGATTTGTGGTTGTTGTGTTGAACCACGTACGTCGATTTTTCAGCCAGAAAATCCTTCGCCTTCCTGGTCCACGTTTTCCTTCTACTTTTCCTTGTAGAATTAATTGCAGCAGCCCATATCTTTCGCTGTTTCTCATGAAGTGTCCGAGATATTCGATTTTGGCTATTTTTATCGTGGTTAACAGCTTCGTTAACAAAATAAAAAAGCACCCAAAAAAGCCCTACTCAATAACAATAAAAACAATGAAATTCAATGCTACTTCAGAGACTTAACTGCTTTAGAAGCTACTGACTATAATTTATGAAAGCTGTAAAAAAATTAAATAGATCTCAATTAACAAACTGTCCTAAAATTTTGAATGACGCTAGGCCCATACCGGTTTCTTAATATTGTTCGGAAGCAATTTTCTTGTGGCATCTTAATACAATTGACTATGTTTATTGGGAATACGCCAGAATTTTACTTTAGAATAAGTTCATTTTGACTTCAATTTCCACTTCGAGTTTGAGAACGGTTTTCGAAGTGTAAATCGTATTGAAAAATTATAAGACGCCAAAAGAAAAAAGCTTTAGAACAACATTAAGAAACCCTCATATTCCAACCCCAAATGGTTACTGGGCAAGAACTAATGAGGATAAGGCTAATATGTTTGCAGAGCATTCAGAAAAAGTCTCCCAACCATATCTCGCTGAAAAAAACTATGACTTTGAAACACAGTTGAAGCGTATCTGCAAACCCCATGTCAACTGGAACTACCTCGTCAAAATTTGGCAGTTAACCCTGTCACAAGATCCATACAAAAGTTCAATCCTAAAAATTTTCAAAATACGACTTCATTAGTGCTAGAATTCTGAAAGAACTTTCATACATACGTTGAGGTATTTGACACAAATATATGTTGTTTGAAGGACATGGTACTTTCCACTCCTGTGGAAGGTAGCCCAAATTATACCTACATCCTTAAGCCAGGAAAATCTGCTAAGAAAATAAAATCCTACAGACCTATTAGTCTACTGCCTGCAATGACAAAATGACTGACAAAATTCTTTTAGAGACAATAGAACTAATTCTGACAGCAAACCGATTAATACCTAACCACAATTTGGATTAGAACGAAACATACCCCCATTGAACAAGTACATTGAGCATTCAACTCAAATATGGAAATTTACAAAGATTTTAAGCTAAAGTGCCTCCTAAGCATTCGCTCACGTCCAGCGAAGGCTTAGAAAGCATCTTCTGTGTGACCTGCCTGCTACATTTTAAAATAATAGTACTAATTTTGTAATGTACTATAGTGCCGTACAGTAGTTAAGCTCACTTAACCAAACCGTATTTAATTTAACTAAAAGGAAATGTGCTGGACAGTTTTGCTTATGTAAATTATCAGATTTTTTATTTGCTTTTTACCTTGTAGGTATATCAAGTTGTGAGCACCGTGCCATCAATCATAAAAGTACTTAAAGAAACTAATAATAAGTTTGTAAAGGACATGCTAGTTGATCCGTTGGCAGAAATAATTTCAGAAATGGAGAATTATCAAAGCATGATAGAACAGACACTAGATTTTAGTTTGGTTGAAAGAGCTGAGTTTCTTATAAGAAGTTCGTATGACGAAAGTTTAACAGGTAAGTTCACGATACATATATCGTTAAATATAAAGGGACAAAAATATGTAATAGTTTTATCTCCTAAAAGGAATGCTAAAAGTAACACAACAGATAAATAAGGTATTACACGAACTGTTTATGATTTTACCAGATATTTTTTAAATTGATATAAGGTTGAATACTCAAATAAATGAACTTTGATAAAATGAAAGTCAGATATCGAGCACAGTTTTATTAATTAAATCTTGGCCAAGTACTTCGCTTCCTAGAGCATCTTCAGGGGCATTTCCCTGAAAATTTCGCCCAAAATTGACGAAATGCCTACTTGGACAAGATTTAATTAATACTATTGTGCTCGAATAAATCTGCCTTTCATTTTATCAAAGATATTTTTTAGATGCAATTAATTAAACCACAATTAATTGTAACGAAAGTTACATTTTTTGCGTTTTGATTTCCAATCCGGAAATCGTTTTAAAAAATTATGAAAATGTTCTATATCCTTAAACGTTTATGATGGGCGGAAGGAGACAGTACAAATTTGACAGTCGACTTCGGTCTTATGGACATCAGCCATATTTACGTTTTTGGAGCTGTAAATTCTGGGATGTGTTATTGTACCCTCCGATTGTAAATCTAACTAGTTAAATAAATTTAAGTTTGCAAGTTTATTAAACTATTAAAATCTTTATTTTTTTAGAATTACACGAGGAAAAAGAAAAAATTCAGGCCAAGATGCATAGAGTTTGGGAAAACGTTGCGGATGAGTTGGGATTGGAGAAAGGTAAAGGTGTCAAACTAGAATCGACCGAACAGCTCGGCTACTTCTTAAGAGTTACTCTGAAAGATGAAAAAATTCTGAGAAAACACAAAGAGTTTAAAACACTTGGAGTGATTAAAGGTGGTTGCAGGTTCACTAACGACAGATTAACTAGTTTAAATGACAAGTATCAAAATGTCAATGAAGAGTACAAAGAACGACAGAAGGATATCGTAAAAGAAGTTGTTGACGTTGCAGGTTAGTGGCAAATATATTATAATAGAATTTACGTACTGAAATTTATTTTACATTTAAACTTTTTGATTTTTTCAGTTAAAACTGAAGTTACCTCACAACTGATAATGGAGATATGTCACAATTGAGGAATATCTCATCATTTTCGTTTTTATCCATTAACATTTTCCCCTTAATGTGTGAGAAACCGTGTGGGATCTTAACATTTTGGTGCAATTATGTATAGCTTCATCAGGACAACGATGACCGATGGCTTTTTTCCTATATCAAGCATGTTCGTGTCTGAACTTAATTAAGACTGTAGTCGTATTTGTGCCGTTCACTGTCAGCTATCTCCCCATCTTTTAAAGGTTGTTCCTGTTAGTGTAGTGTCTATTAGTCTTAATTCTACTATTGCTATTCTATTCTATATTCTATTGCTATTATATATAATATACTATTCGGACTAGTCTCTCACTATCCATTCGCATGACATCCTAGTTGCACTCCGATCTTCTCTGCCTACCCTCCGTAGAATATTTCCTGTATCCTGTAATTTGCAGATATCTCTTAGTTGTTTATTTAGTATTCTGTTTTAAATGTCTTCCGAGCTATTGATCTCAAAGCTCTGTTTTTTGTTTTTGTTGTATTTACTCTTGTTTCTATCGAGAGCAGATAATTTTGTCAACACAGGATTTAAAACAACGTTAGAAATCCTAAGATTTCTGCCATCTGCTTATATGTATTTCAACCCTATTAGGTGTCATCAGAGCGCCATATGCAGAGGCTCTGATCTATACTTATACAGGTACGGAAAAAGTTTATCGTTAGTATTACAAAAGTAGTGAGAGGTACTATAAATATCATTATATTTCTACTTAATAGAGAGAGATCAAATTTATACTTCTGCCTAGTCTCCAGATTGAAACCCGAGTGTTTCCGATCAAATTTAACACTGTTTAAAATAACGTCTTGCATTGCCAGGTGTACGATAATTATCGTTTTATACGATAATTTGAACATTTTTCGCAACGTAGCATGTATAGCATATTAGTAAAATATACGATATTTTCAGCTGATGATATTATGAGAACCCTCTTTATGTTTTTATCTCGAGTATCTCGTGTAACATATACAAACCTTGAAATGAAAACAAACATTTTTTTGACGCTAAACTTCAACATCTTAACATAAACAAATTAAAATTGAAATTCATGGATGAATTGGAATTGAAGCTTTTTACCCATTTTTGGAATGGGTTTTACCAAAATTTGTGGAATTGAATAAATTTTTCCAAAGTGATAAACTAATTATCACAAATTTGCACACCGAAATTATAACAATGTAGAAAGATCTACTGCTTACTTACATGGATCCACAATATGGCTTGTATGGAAATAAAAAAAGAAAAGATTATGCAGATCCAGTCATGGGCAATGTATACGTTCTAAATAGAAATAGCTTTAACAGTTGTCAAAGTCTCTACCACTAATGTTAACATTGACACGAATTTGTAATCCTCAAGACCTACAAACAATGCAAAAGATCGATGACGAATGGAGGAAACTTAAACCATACCAGGATATTTCAATAGCATTCGAAAATATCATGAATTCTATTTTAAAGTGTAAAATATACTATTTCACTGGAACTATGTTTTAAGTCATATTCTTTTAATTGCAGCTGGTTATGCGGAAAGCTTAAAGTCATTGAACTTGTTGATTGCCAAAGTCGACGTGTTGACTTCCTTTGCTGTAGCCGCAGTTTCGGCAAGAATTCCTTACGTCAAACCAAAAATCCATAAGCAAGGAACAGGGTTTCTAAATTTGAAACAAATGAGGCATCCTTGTATCGAAGCCCAAAGCAATATGTCATTCATTCCTAACGACGTTACGTTCGAGAAAGAAGGTGCCAGGTTCTACGTAATAACAGGTAAACTAATATTTTGAATTTGTTTCATGTTAACACTGTTCAGTCAACGGCTATATTATGTTTTCAACCTCTCAATAACTGCGGTTATACCAGCGAGAGTTTACTTTGCATTGGTACGTGACCGTCCATATACAATTCATTTTTATTGGCTTTTGCTTCAGACATGAATCCCTCATGGTGAAATATTTATTGTAATTCCTCGTTTTTGTGGTTGACTAATCAATTTACAAGTGGTTTGCTTATCATATTAGTGTATTAGTTATTAGTGTATAGTTATTAGTGTATTATTTATTACGGTTTGGAAAGAATTGAGTATTTACTCAAATATTCTATTTTCAATATTCTTATCAGATTCAATGGTTCAGAGAACCATTTGTCCTTAATTATTCCGAAAGCATATAAGATTTTAAAATATGAAATTTCTGGGGATTGTATCACGGCAAAAGATGACAGTTTTAAAACCTAATTTATTTACTTATTTATTTATTAATTAAGGCAATTATCGAGCACAAGTTTAATCAAATCTTGTCCAAGTACTTTCGCTTAATATAGCATCTTCAGGGGCATCTGAAATAAGCCAAAAAAAGACGTTTGTTTGATGAAGGAAGTTAATTAGCTTCGATAAAAACTCGAAGTTAATGGATGATAAAAGTTTTTTGTGATTAACGTTTTAGACTCACTTCGTCAAATATGGGCTATTCAGCAAGCGTAGAATGTAATAAACATGAATGTTAACATGTTTAATCCTTGTTTTAGTGTAGTGTTTTGTACAATTTTATGTTAAGATTCATGTTTATCACATTCTACGCTTGCTGGATAGCCCATATTTGACGAAGTTAATTAATTTCCTTCATCTAAAAAAACGTTTTTGGTTTATTTCAGATGCCCCTGAAGATGCTATATTAAGCGAAAGTACTTGGGCAAGATTTGATTAAACTTGTGCTCGATAAATGCTTTAATTTTCAAAGATTCCCTATACGTTCTTCTTATATATAAGAGGGTTTGTCTAAACCAAGAGAACTAGCAGATCTTCACGAGACGTCATACTTGGCACATCTTCAGTTTAACGCGGAAGAATTTTCTACTTACCAATGAGCTTCGGTGCTGATTTTCTACCTGCCAATTATTACCATTGGTTAGTGCTTTCTTTGTAATTTATGAGTTATGCCAATTCTAAATTTTATGTCACTGTTTACTATTTTTACTAATGAACCAGCTAATTTCAATACATCTTACTTTAAACAATTACTAAATAATTCTTTTTGTTATACTGTGCTTGATAGTAAAATAAATATAGGCGAAACTCAAGGTCAAAGTTCCCGACCATTTTTTTTCGTTCCTTATTTAGTACATCTCGTATATGTAAATGAATTTTCTTTTATTAATTCTCCGTTGACGTCCTTTGTTTGAATGAATAATGTTTAACATCTTGATCTCAAAAAGAACCGTCATACAAAACATTCCACCTCTTAACTGAGTACACAAAATAGAACGAGATCCTACAGCATACACAAGGAATAATATGAGGAAAATAACAATACCGTACATAAAAGGACTATCAGAAAAACTTAAAGGGATAGGAAATAAATTCAACATTTCAACAACATTCAAAACAACAAACACGTTGAGATCTATTTTGTCCAAAACCAAACCTAACAATGAATAAGAAAGGACAAATAATTGCATTTATAAAATACCTTGTGAATGCGATCAGTTTTATTTAGGTGAATCATCAAGGCCATTAAATGTTAGAATAAGTGAACATCAATCTTATATTAAAAATAGGGAATTTGATAGATCTCAAATCTGTAAACACGCATGGGATAATGAACATAGGGTTCAATGGAATAATTCAAATGTAGTCCTAAAAGAAACGGATGGCAAAAAAAGAAAAATCAAAGAAGCGGCTCTAATTATGCTAAATGAGGCCAATTGTGTCGCAAATTCCTCGGCAGAATGTAGTAGGATCTTGTTACCAATATTGAAAGAGGAATTAATAAGAAAATACCAGTATTAGTAAGTCAGTAACATATAGAGGATACATCATTTATGTTTTTTAAATAACGTAACATATAAAATCAGAATTTTGATGTTTGTTGAAGGTAAACTAAATTCACGAACAAATACTTACAATGTCTGGATAGTATTATGAGGTTTTTTTCCTGGTTTTTCCCTCATAATTTACTATGGAATCACTAACAGGAGAATTTTACTGTCATCATGTCATGTGTTTGTCTTTTTAAAGACGAATTACATGCTATGATTTTTTTCTGACGGATATTCTCAAGTTAAAGTTGATTTCATGTAATCGAATGAACTATCTTATAAGTAAAGTCGTCCCAGGAGCGCAACTCAACAATATTGGCAATATCATTTTAAAGTCGTCTACTTTAAAATGCATAATGTATGTCTGAATTGTCAATATAAATGAGTCAGATAAAATTAAATTATTAGAAGAATTTTTCACTATGTAACAAAAAACAAAATTTGTTTAATTTACTGTTTGTATTTTGAGAACGATTTCCGAAGTGGAAATTGAAACGTCAATAAACGTATTTTTATCTTTAATTGTGGCTTATTCCCAGTTTAATAGTAATTAAAATACGTTATTATAGGTCCCAATATGTGTGGTAAGAGTACGTATATAAGAAGCGTTGGTACGGCAGTATTAATGGCACATATCGGTTGCTTGGTTCCTTGTTCCCTAGCTGAAATATCCATTGTCGATGCTATTTTGGTGAGAGTAGGTGCAGAAGATTGTCAGTTAAAGGGTCTTTCCACATTTATGCTGGAAATGGTGGAAACATCTACTATTATAAAGGTAAGTCTGTTAGTTTTTCAGAATTTTTATTTCATTTAACATATAGCTATTTAAAAATAACTTTGAAGAAAAAACTTGAAGTTTCGGGAACAAAATAGTCAAGTAAAGATGAATTCGGAAATTGTTATTTTTTGTATCTATTTCAGTTTGAGAAATTCGGAAATACAGATCGACCGCACAAAACTAAAGATCTAGTAAACCTAGTAGAGAAATGTTTCTTAAACTGTTTGATTAATGTTAAACTTTATCTATAATTAAAACTCTAAAATAACATTTGCTCCAATATAAACGCCGCAGTGTGGTATTTTATATAAAAAACTGGCCAAAACGAAAATTTCAAAAACTAGAATTTCGGACCGATTATTGTCCCCAAAGCAGGTATTTATATGTGACGTCATCTGGCAATACCCTCTTCCCAAATAACCTCACCAAACAAATTTAATAGCTGTCAATTCTTAAAACGTTTTGGCTGCGTTTAGTTTTGAAATTTTATTACTTTTTTTTGTACGATTTGTGATCTCCTTAGTTTTATAGTTCAAGTGATTTTTTAACAGCAGTAGTTATGAATATGCCAGAGGAAAATAAGTACTCAATATATAACCATTTTTTAATAGATTACCCTTCTAGAACTTCAATAAAAATTAATCCAATTTTTTTGAATAATTTTCAATATAAACGAATGTTTTTAGTTACTCTCTACTCAACGATACTGCAAACGAGTTATTTCATAGTAAAGATTAGACTATCTACGTTCATAAAGAGTTTTCATTAATACAAACGAAAATACTGTGAGTAGTAAACGCTGATTTATGAATCCAAATATGCAAACATATTTGAAAAAAAATACCACTTATGTTTTTTTGCCGTGCACTTTAAATCTGAAATACCTCGTGAATCTTCTAGCTCTTCCGTTTATACATGAAGTAGCCATTATATTGCTTAATCTGAACGTTCTTCAATTGTTTTTTTTTATTTTTCATTGAAATTATTTTTTTAGTTTTTATTATTTCTTAAATTCGCGTTAATATAATTTATATTAATGCGAATATAAGCATACGTTTTTATTGAAAATTATACAAAAAATTAGATTAATTTTGATTGACGTTCTAGAAGGATAATGTTTTAAAAAAATGGTTAAATATTGAGTACTTACTTTTCTCTGTTATATTCATAACTGTCGCTATTATAAAAATCACTTGAGTTATAAAAATAACGAAATCACAAATCGTACAAAAAAGTGTAGTAAAATCTCAAACCTAAACGCAGCCCAAAACGTGTTAGGAAGTGATACCTGTCAAACATGATACTATAAACTAAAGATAAACCCACGCGCACGCGATCAGTCGTGTGACGTCACTTGGCGACAAATGTCACCAGAAATGTTCTGTGTTGTATGGAGTTTTGTCAGATTTAATTCGCTGTGAGCTTCGCCGGTAGCGCTATCTCGCGGTTTGAAACTTGTACTTTTCTTGTAAAATCGGTGTAAGTGAAATATGACAAAACGAGAAAAATAGATATATATCTAAAAATACAAAATTATGAACTAAAATATTATTGTAAACTGATTACTGAACGAATATACAGAATTAATAGTAAAAGTAATTACGCCTTTTTATTTTATTCATTATAATTTTAATATTTAAGATATAAGTTCCTGCGACTGGATGACTACTTACGTAAGAGGCCATGGAGAAAAAGAAGAAGTTTATGTAAAAATATTTAATGGTTAAAGGTTATCTTTACCTCTCGTAACCATGATACTATGATTAAGAAGATAAGATAACGCATAAGTCGTGACATCATTGGAGAGTTGCACGTTCGAAATGTCAGTTTTTTGTGTGTATCAATAAATAATCTTTAATAAATAGTTTGGAAATATCCTTATGTGTACGATTATTGTAATTATTAAACCTCTTAACTTAGTTTCGTCTAGTAATTTCATCACAGAATGCATACAAATCCCATTTAACTTTAACAAGAATTCAAATTCTACTCTCCAATGACGGCATGCGTAAACACGACCGATTTTGTGCTACGGGAAGAACCTATCTTGTTAGTCATGTATCATGCTTACGTTGTAATTCTTGTTTTCATTTTGCATTTTCATTCTGTTTTTGCTCAGTTATTTTTTGTGTGCTTAGGCCTTAGTGCTTAGATATCAATTTATTTTAATTTTATCAAAATGGATATTAAAAATTATACTGGTTTTAAGTCTATCACATGATATCCCATTTTAACCAGCTACACCAAAAATCTTATCGATAGCAATAATCCATTTTCCTCTTTGAACTACATATTTTATGCTTGGCAACAGGAAATGAATAAAATTTACAATCACTTATACCCAGTATTTTTACATGTATCAATACAACAGCTGCTATATCTTTTTATTTTTGAAAAATCCATATTCGCCATTATTTGAATGTTTACAAGTTAAATGCACAAAACTGCCACTAACAGCGTTGGTGAAAACTGTCAAATCCCCTCTACTCATCGGCTCACAGCGAATATTGTTTTATCGTTTATCTTCTACGTTGACATCGGTTTACTGGGTAAACCATCTTTCCGAAGGAGGTTTACTTAAACCATATCCAGATTTTCTAATGAAATATAATGAACTGGACCATATTTTTAACAATTTTAACAAAGAGTCATTAAAATTAACCAAGAATTATTTAAAATCGCTAATGGATTTAGCTGTGTTCAGATGTAATGTTTTTTTTTTCATAGTAAACGTAAGTGCAGATGTCAAACATCTTTTTGTTAGGTGTAAATTATATTTTAAAATTAGAAAATTGAATAGATATATTAAAGAAACATCCAAAGTTAAGAAGAAGAAAATATTAAAAATAAACTGTAAATTATTACAGTGTACTTTATTTTATCAGTTGTATTAAATTTTTATTTTAATAAATCAATCCATTGTATATAAATTTCCATTTCCAAAAGGATGTTTAGTTCCTACTTTTTTATATAATTTTATTATCTATTTAAATTCTATTAATTTACATTGCTAGGCTAACAGAGATGTATACATAACATATTTTTAAGTTTTAATTGCAGATATTTTACCTAATATCCCTTAATATTCTAAATATTTAAATAAAAACCCTCTCTTTCCATATATGTTTTATCCACTGTGATGATAAAAGGTTGGTGATAAAAGTGACTTTTATCACCAAGTGACGTCATGCGCGTCGACGTACATAATTTGATTGCGAAGTGGGTTTATCTTGGAAGTCTTAGTATCATGCCTGTCAAATTTGTTGGATTAGACTATTTGGGGAGGGGATATTGCCAGATGACGTCAAATATAACTACCTGTTTTAGGGATAATAAAGAGTTGGAAATGTTTTTAAAATTTTAGTTTTGGACAGCTTTTTATGTAAAATACCACTATGTGCGCCGTTGAAAGAAAAAAATACAATGAAAGTAATAAAATTATTAGTTGATCTCTAGTATGTATATATAGGTGGTGTACAATTTCGTCAATATTATAAATCTTATTGAATGATGGATACAAACAATACCTGATAATTCTTTTAGTTTATGTTTAACTTATTTATTTATAAATATTTCTCTTTATTTTAGACAGCTACGGCTGATTCACTAGTCATTATCGATGAATTGGGGCGTGGAACTTCAACTTACGATGGATGCGGATTAGCTTGGGCCATTGCCGAGTAAGTTTTTTAAAATTTCTATTAATGATTTATAAAACATTTTACCTATATAAACATTATCATGGTTAAGTAATATATACAATCTGTCCGTTGGATCTTGTATAACTTTTTTATATTAGGTGTCTTCTAGTCACTGAATCTAAAATCATGAAATTAAGTCACTTGTCACACAACAGATTACGTCAAACTAACACTGGAACATGCTGCAGAATGGTGATGATTGATTAATCTACTTGGAATTTCCAGTTTTATAATAAAAAGCGTGTGTACAGTGGGTTTATAACTTTAAATTTCCATAAATTTTCATACCTTAAAGTTATAATTTTTTCAAAAACAATTGTTTTTGTGACTTAATCTTCGTGGTTGATTTTTGGAAGTGTGGTTATGGTATGGTCACAGTATAAAGAGGTTCCACAGTAGAACCACTCTCCGAAAAATTGGAAGTAAAGTCTGTCAACGCGCAGAGCGACTGCGCTTATTTCTTAGTCGCTCGAGAACCATTCCTCCGTTGCTAGTCGCGTAGAAACGTACGGGTTAACAGTGCCGTATTTTGCTTAAACTGAGTTAGTTTTGTGAATAATTGTTAGTATTGTGAAGTTGAACATGAGTAAAATTCGAAGTGGTATTAATAATCTTAAACTTCCAAATTTGTTAAATATATCTACCGATAGACCATATTTTTATCATGAAAATAATAAAATTGTCTTTTCTTTTGATACACCTCATTTATTAAGAGCACTTCATAATAACTTCCTAAGAAACCAATTTGTTATTGATGATATTATCGTTTCTTGGGAATATATTAAAAAATTTTACGAACATGATAAACAATATTCTATACGTTCAGCGCCAAAATTGACCGAATTACATATATCTCCTAACAATTTTGAAAATATGAAAGTGAAATATGCTTCTCAGATATTCAGTAACACTGTTGCTGCCGGTCTGCATCTGTATATTAGATTTATTGTATTCGTCGAGGAAGCAACAACAACTGAAAGATTTATTAGGAACATTAATAATTTATTTGATATGCTCAATTCTTCTTCATTAAGAGGAGCAACTGAGTACCAAAGACCGTATAGAGGAACCGATGCTTAGCAAGAATTTCTTAATGCGTATTTCCGATTGTTTAATAATTTACAGGTAATTAATTTTAAAGCTAAAAATGTAACACCAAGAATAAAATATGTTAATGGTTGGAAAATAACCATTAATGGAGTGATTCATTTGTGGAATCTACTACAGTCACATGGAATGGATTATTTTTTAACAAGGCGGATGAATCAAGATTGGCTAGAAACCTTTTTTGGTTCAATCAGGCAGCAAGGTGGCAATTGTGTTAATCCTACTCCGGTATAATTTACCGCGGCATTCAAAAGATATTTTTGTTTAGACATGATGCATTCCGGTACAGAAAATTGCGAAAGAAATGCAGGCCATATTTTGTTAAATTTAACCGATATATGTACCGACGATTATCTGCCTGAAACCACTGCTTTGGTTCCTGAAAACACTTTGGATGACCAAAAATATTAAACTTCAAATAAATTACAGAAAAACTTCACAAGATATATATGTGATATATATATATATATATATATATATATATAATATATATATATATATATATATATATATATATATATATGTTTGTCTAATCTGTGAAGCATATGGGAGAGAGTACGATGAACTACACGATTCGTCTCTGTTTTGTTACGTTAAAGCCTACAGTGGTAATGAAACAAACGTTTTTGGCAATCTCTATATGCCCAGCCAAAATTTTGTGCAGTATGTTACAGATTTGGAAATTATTTTTCAAGAGAATTTTCAAAATTTTAGTCATCAACCGAAAATCTTACAAAACTACGTTAGCTTATTCGAAAAAATACCATATACGCATCCTTGCAGCAATTTTCCAAAGGGCTATCTCATTAGGTTATAGGCTAGAATAAGAATATATTAAGAATAAGAACACATTAAAAATAATTAATAGAAATTTTAAAGTATCTAAGACAAAAGGACATAGGAAATAAATAATTTGTTAACATAATTAGCTTTAAAACGTGTTGTTTGTTTGGGTTTATATAACTGCGGATACTAAAAACATTCTCAAATTTTAATTTTTGTTTTTACTTATAAGTCATGTGTTGTATACAATTTTATGCGTAAATTAATACTAACATTAATTTCTAATAAATAATCCTTTTTATATTTTTTGATAATTTAGTTAGTTAAGTAATTCATAATTTAGTTTTATAATATATTTTTTTGATAATTACTTCTTCTATAATATAATAAATTCTTATGCAGCTCTATATTTATTTCAAGAGCTATTTTGCCATATGTTGTCCAAGTTCCTCATTTTTTTAGGAGGAGAATAGGAATCACCCGGTACTCTCTCCAACCATCTGAAATATCTTATGCTTTGATTTGTTCTTGATTTAAAAAAATTTAATAGTGTTCTTTTTCTATTTTGATATAAATTTTTCAACATAATATAACGTACATATATTCCTATTCCCGGCGAAGTATTTTTCTTATTCTTAAGACTGATTTCTAATTCATACAACCTAAATTTTACTGAAAATGAATGGTATTGTGTAATAGATAACACTGGACATAATTTTCTTGAAAACGCATCAACTCATTCTCCTTTGATCACTGTATTTACTTATAGTTTAAAAATGGATTTGACTAGACTATCTCTGGTAGACATCCTGACAATGCAGATGCTTTGTTGATCTGACTCCTCACGTCCTTACTAGGACACAATTTAACTTGAAAAAAATAATTTTATTACCGTTTCGACTTCCAATTCGGACGTCGTTGTCAAAATACAAAATAATAATTTATTTTTGTATTTTGACAACGACGTCTGACTTGGAAGACGAAACGTTAATAAAATTATTTTTTCAAGTTAAATTGTAGCTTATTTCCGAATTAGAATAGTTGATATTCGTTTATTTTATTAAAAAATTGTTGAAATTGTTAAAAATAAGAAAGAAGAAGAGAATTTTTTTTATTTAAATTTGTGGCTAAAAATCACCACAAAACATCTTTTCAGCAGTTTGAATTTTAATTGATGTATTCTTGCACATTACGCGATTGATTTGACGAAAAGACTATTGCAAAATTTAATTAATTTTTTGCAGACTACAACTAAAACTAAACGAATAATACAGAAAACACAAAAAATCGCCGATATAACCAAATTCGCCTACGAAATGTAAATAAGGACAAAATTTCATAAATGTCAAAATTTCATAACAGTGGAGTAAACTTGCCTGCCGTTGGACGAATTATAAACAAGCGTTATGACGCGGTAAACTTGAATTACTCCTCCTGGTTTAAAAACAGAGTATAGTAATGCCGATGCCGTGAGAGCTTCGAAATTAACCTCCTTTTTATTTAACGTTTATATGACATGTACAATATATTAAAAACCATTGAGATTTTAAAACTTGCGCAGTACCGTTGATATTTAAAATACCGTTGAAAAATATAAACAATGAATTATAATATTGTTTATAATTTATTAAACCCTTTGTTTTTGTAATATTAACATTTAGTGGTTAAATATGGGAAGCCGCATTTTTTATTTAAATAAATTAATAGTAGTAGGCTCAGAAAATTTTAATACGGCTCTGTAAGGATAACGGTGGTGGATTACCAATTTCGTACTTTGCCGGTATTACTTCCTGAGATCAAAGTGCCGACAGACGAGTAGTTTTACTGTGGAACCTCTTTATACTGTGGTGTGGTTATGGTAGATCGGGACAGGGCCCATTTATGAGTCCTTCAGACACTTAAACCATTCTTGAAGTTAGTAAATAAATTAAGTGGACAGAAATATTGTGGCAGTATTGTCTCAGCTGTAGATGGGACAGTTCAAATAAAGTGTTTGACTATTACTCATCCTTGATACCGATTGTTATAGACCATCATTTTTTTATCTGGTTGTTTCCTAATAATAAGTTTTCTTACTATAAATCAACTTGTATTTTTTTGCTTTTCACTTTTTGCCGGAGCCGACCCTTCACGTTTTACCTGGTCACGCCCATCCCTCTTGGCGATCCTTTCTACATTATACGGTTTCTGACAATGATGTTATTCGGGATGTTTTACGATGATTTTTGATTATTGAAATATTTGTGAAGAAATGCGTTGCTTGAAGAAATTTTCCTACTTAAAGAGTATAATCCTACTATGCGCCCTCTATGATTCTCCCAAGAAAACCGATAGGTCTCTAGACTTCGTGAGGCTTAATGTCTTTTCAAGTTCAATGTAAAAGTTTTCTATTTCTTCTTCTTCTGATTAGCAGTTAGAGCATAAATCTATATTAAATTCTGTATCCCATAGGTTATCAGATGCAGCAATATTATCCTTTCGTATATTGCAATGAGGCCAGTTTTCGAGTACATGATAAGTATAATGCCGACTCCATATCTGCATTGTTTTTCCCTTTCCCGATTAACATCAGCATTATGCCTCGCAGAACGGAAGAGGCGGCGGAAATATATTCACAATTAAAAACAGGGGTAAAAGAGGCCGGGCTAGAAATAAATATTAAAAGACCAAAAAGCTAACACAGCCAAGAGCTAGGGGAAACAGATGCAAATTTGAATTATAGGACGATATTGAAACAGTAGAAAGTTTCACATGTCTGGGAGTTGAATTAAGCACGAATGGAACAGAAAACCAGAAATTCAAAGAATAATAGTAAAAGGAAATATAGTTTTCTTTTCACTCGCCCATGTGTTCCGCTCCAAAACCACACACCGGAGTTCGAAAATCGAGATCTACAAAACTTTTATCAGGTCAATAGTATGTTATGGATTCGAGACATGGATAATGACAGAAAATACAAAAAGAAGGCTGGAAGTCTTTGAAAGAAACATCCTAAGGAAGATATTTGGACCTATTAACGAAAACGCAGTATGGAGATCTAGGTACAACCTTTGGTGGACTGATCATGTAGTAAGAATGGAGGCCGACAGACTGCCGAAAAGAGCCATATACAATAAAATGCAGGGTGCAAGACTAAAAGGAAGAGTACGAAAATGGTGGTAGGATGAAGTAGCACCGAACACACAAAAATGGCTAGATGTGAGAACTTCCAGAAGAGCGGCGTGGGACCGGCAATGTTGAAGACGCATAGTTTGGAGGAGGTTAAGGCTTGATTTGGACTGTAGCTCTATTTGAGAGAGAGCTCAATATATCATCTAGGATGATATATTGAGGTGGTTTTCCCTCACCATCCTCCGCTGTAAAAGATTTTATGGACATGACTGCAGAAATTCGAACGAAGTTCCTCGAGCTCTTGCCTATTTTGAGTTTTGAGACCGCTAGCAGCTACGGCTGAGTTTTCTGGTCATATCTGGCCGTATTCACTTAGTTAACCTGCAGGTTAATGCAGTTACCAGGGTGTGGCAGGTGGAACTCATACGTAATTGACGACTTGTGAATTGTTTGAAATCATCCCCAGTTGATGACTCTCGACGCTGTTATCTTAAGCAAAAAGTACTACCTTTACAATGCAGACCGCATACCCCAAGAAATTATTAGTTAATATATATTGCCCTACCGTTATGAAGTCAATAAGATAATCACTATGGTTTGTATTGTTTAAGTCACCTCTATAATCTCAAGTTTGTTACGTTCTATCACCTCTCTGTTTTATTAGAGAGCTGGTATAACTAATGAATCGTATTAATAAAGTATATTTTTTATTTACAGACATTTGGCTAGAGATATTCGCAGTTTCTCAATGTTTGCTACACATTTTCACGAAATTAATGAACTAGCAGAAAACTACGATTGCGTGGCCAACTTATATGTCTCAGCATTAGTTACTGATACGACAATGACTCCTCTGTACACGATACGCGAAGGCGAATGCGACAAAAGCTACGGAGTACATTGCGCAAGAATTGTGAACTTTCCAGATGATGTTATACAGGTAAATATATAAATTTTACATTTGGTTACTTAAAAAATCGTGTACTGTTAAATTTTACTTTGATTCTTTTAATTGTTGAGAAATATATTAACATTAGATTATGCACAATAGCAAATAATTGGCTCTTTTTTACAAGTTGAGTCACTTGTGTATATATTAGTGCTCAATTTGGTAAAAAGTATGTTCGCGAATACAAAATCGGCATTCTGGTCTAAGAAAGGTCTATCTGAATGGTTTGACTGTAATGTAGGAGTGAGACAGGGATGTCTTTTAAGTCCATTACTGTTTGCGCTTTTCTTGAATGACCTACATGAAACATTGGGTGGCGGTTTAGAAATAAATGGTTTGATTATAAGACTTTTATCGTATGCAGATGATTTGATTTTGATGGCAATCAATCCGAAGATGCTACAGCGAATGATTAATGAACTGGAAAAATACTGCAGGATGTGGACTCTGAAACTAAATTTAGATAAATCCAAAATTCTTGTATTCAAAAGAGGAGGTAGTGTGATCAGGGAATCTTGGAAACTGAATGATCGAGTATTAGTGGTAGTGATTAACTATAATTACTTGAGAATGATAGTAACACCCAAGTTGTCGATAAAAGTTCACCTAAAAAAGCGCCAGAGTTTGGCAAAATTGGGGATTCACAGTGACTTGGAGTAGTTTAGTGTCCAAGGCTGATATACCCTTTTAGGCTAAAGTAACAGTGTATGAGTCGGTCGTAAGATCAGAACGATTTCTTTTTGAGTACAATGATGTGGAAATAATCAGAAGATTTTATATATAAAAAAAAGATTTCTTGTCCAAGGTATTGTCCTAACTTTATGTTAGATTTGGAGACAAGTATTGCTATAGTCAGCTTATATACAATGAATTTACATAAAAACATATATTGAAAAAATTCTAGGATATTCGAATAAGTTGTCAAAATTTCTTTTGAAAGAAATGATGAGAGCAAGGTGTGGCTGGTGGAAAGATTGGATGCGTATGGAGAAAAAATTGGTATTGAGATAAGCTAGGTAGGATAGCTGGCCTAGTATGATAGAGAATATGATATATAAAAACAAGAAGGATATACAGTGTCAAGCTAAAAATAGGGCATTCGAATCGTATTTTTGAGGACACTACAAAGAACTGCGGAAGATGGAGTAAACATACATTATCTATTGGAAATGGAAAATTTTGGGGATATTCGATTGCTGTTCAAACTAAGATGTGGAGTTCTATATTTGAATGATCGACCTGGCAGAAATTATGACAGAAGGTTTTGCTCAATGTGTAACACGAAGCAAAGGGATGATGTGATAAATTTTTTGGGAAAATGTGTGGTGTTGAGATAGATTGGGTTAAAGAGGTTGGGTAGAAATGAGCATAGTAGAGTGAAAGTAGGTACTACGATTAGACAGGGATGGGCTGGTTATTATATAGAGGCATGGACGTATAGGTATGAGTTAGTGAGCCTATTTAATTACTAAATGGATTGGCATGATATTAGTTCAATAGGATGAAAATACTAAAATTAGCATTAATAATTTGTTTGCGTATAGCTATTTATCTTTTATCTATCTTGTCTATTTTGACTATCTTGTTATTATTGTTATACAGTATTGGAAGATTTAAAATGGAACATACGGATTATTAATACAATTAGTAAGATCCCCTGACCTGCAATTACCCAGTGTAAATTTCAATATAACATCGCGATGTCTTATAATTAATTCATTTGTTCGACTGGATTGCTACTCCTTCGCGATTTCTAGTAGCGTATTCGGCAGGTGTATGTCGACACTGTTGTCTATCGTTCACTGATTTTCTGTGTTTTTGTGCAGATAATAACAATGTTTTATTAATAACAATTTTTTTGTGTTCATTAGATATTATTTGAATTGGTTAGTGTATAGTTTAATATATTTATTATTCCAAATATTGTTGATAATTTAAAATTTAAAAGGATGTATATGATACATCAAAATCTACAGATTTTTGACGAAGGTATCTACCGATTTGGCAACAGTCCCAAGGAACATCACTGGCCGAGCAAAACAAATACATGCCCTTTGCTTTGTGTTTGGTAAGGTGCGCACGTGTGCAGCAGTCGAAAAATATCGACTTGAGAAGGAGTCCAGTCGAACAAATGAATTAATTATAAGACATCGCGACGTTATATTGAAATTTACACTGGGTAATTGCAGGTCAGGGGATCTTACTAATTGTATTAATAATCTGTATGTTCCGTTTTAAATCTTCCAATACTGTATGTACTTTGCTTTCACTCCCTCTGAGGGACAAATTCACTCTTTCAAATGCGTGTTATACCTTACTGTATATCAATGTTATTATTGTTTAGGCCAGTGCGAAGTCTTACTCAGTAGGATGTACACATTTAGTTTATTACCATGACATTTATATGAATATTTATTTAATATATTATTTATTAATTTTAATGACCTTGTAAGATAGAATTAGCCTTAGTGTAATTTTTTGTATATTAGAGAATAATATTTGTTTGCCAACATTTGTTTATGCCAAGGAGAACAAATATCGCTAAAAGAAAATATTGTATTGAATTTTTTTAATGATTAATAAAAAGGCATTATTGATTGATTGATTGAATAGCAAATAATTTAAAACGTTAATAAATTGGCATTTTTTATAATTATACAGTCATTGTTTCATATGTATAACCTTACTGCATTTTTTAGGGGGCAATTGAGTACCAGAGAAACTTGGAACATCAAAACGGCATGAAATATTTAAGCGATTTCGAGCCAAGCGTGAAAAGAAAATACATCGCAGTAAGTATATTTTATATATTGCGGAAATGTGATGTTAACATAAAACAAGCATAGGTGAAAAGTAGTGCATTTCATTCGCATCGTAAAAATAATGAAAAAAGATTAATAAATACGAATAAGAATGATCTGTATTGTTAAACTTTTATAAACTTTTAAAACGACATTCCATAATATGATGGTGGAAAATTTGCCTGTTAACACATAAATAGAAATTAACTTTGAAAAATAAGGCTATTATCGAGCACAAGTTAATTAAATCTAGCCCAAGTACTTTCGCTTAAAATAGCATCTTCAGGGGCATTTCGTCAAATATAAACTATCGGCAAGCGTAGAATGTGGAAACAATAATGACATAAAATTGTACAAAACACTACACTAAAACGAGGACAAACAGTTTAAAGATTCTACGCTACATTCTTTGTCAGTATCTGGAGGGACAGTCTCTCCCTCTTGACTGTCCCCCTTGCAGACTGCAGGCTTGTAGTTGGAAAAATGATGTAGCCACTTGACAAAGGTCGACGTAGTCATTGAGTGCTTGTCTGTCAGCTGTTTTACCGCTGCTGCAGATGTGTTGATGTTCAGGAGCAACAAATTGTAGCCGTTTTTTACCGTTTTTACCAAAACTTAAGGAGACTTGTAGAGGGACAGGCGGCAATCCTTTTATCCATATAATAGATGAGGTATGGTTTGTCAAATGTCTCTAATTCGATTATGATATTCTTTTAATTTCTAGAAATGATCATCGACAATAAACCTATTCAAGCTCTTCCTGAATTCATATGTTGCGCATTTCTTCTGGTAACCTCTAGGTTCCTCAGTAGGAACAACTTGAGCCATTTGCGTCCAGCCAAATCTTTTGCTTCATGAATCGGATTCTGCAAATTATTTTTTTCACAGAATACAAATGCACAGCGTCGGAAAACTTTAGCTGTAACTAGATTCCAACTTCAGCAAGCCGAAAAATTCTTTTGAGAAAGTTCTTTTTCTTTTTTTCTAAAAATACGCCGTTTTAGAAAAATGAGACTACCATATTAAAGAGCACAGTTTTCTGTTCTTAAATACAGTTTACAAGTACAAATTATTTAAAAGAGGGAGGAAGAGGGATGTAAATAGATGTAACATATCTTACAAATAAGAAGACAGCTCTGCTTTCTTGGTTGCGGCAATACAAATGAACATAAATGACAGACTAGTTATTGTCTCGTCCACAAGATGCCAGCACCTAACTTCAGGCCTTATTCGGTACATGTACTTTATAAACTATATAAAGTGATAGAATTATAAATGAGTGAAACACCATCAAATATTTTTTCTAGTGATTGATAGTGACATTTGTAGAGATAATGCTGCGTTCCCAATTCTTGTTGATCAAAACAACACTACATTATTGAATTGCGGTTGTCTTAACATGTCGGCTGCGCTTACGCTCGCCATATGAAGAAAAGACCTATTATGGTTTATAATACAGAACACAATAGGTCACGAGTGTTTTTTAGTTTTTTTCGGCACCCGACCGGTTTCATATATAGTAATTCTAAATGAATCCGATAATAAAAGTTGTATTTTTATATATAAAATTGTATAATTAAATCATGTATTGATTTTTATTTTTCTTATATTGAAATTCAATAAATATTTTGATAAACTCAAGTTTTTAATAGCAATCTACTATTTTAGGAAGGAGACGCAATGATCAGAACAGCTATGAAGCAACTGAAATCAATGGATGTTAATAGCCTAAGCGATGAGGAACTGATGAAAAAAGTTGAAGAAATGAAAGTAGACTTACTTAAAAAGGAACATCTCTTTGTAAAGGGACTCATGGATGTTTAATGATCTGATTTTTTTTTACTTGTGTACAACTCAACTCATTCCATCTTTGTGTATTTTTCAGCGTTCGGATTTTTATTGAGAAACTTGCTTTAAGTCTTATTTACTTTTTCTTTTAATTTTCAAATTTAATAGAATATACTTCCAACACCCAGTTTTTTGTATAAAAATCTTCATTTTCACCTTTCTTATTTTTACTTTCCAACAATTTATGAATTTTTGAAAAGCATTTTTTGATTATCGCTTACTGTTGGATATACTGTGGATATGTAGTTGTGGTCGAAAAAGTGAAAATCACAACTTATGCTTACAAAGAAGTATTATTTTTTTACATATCTCCTCTTATATTCATATTGCCATATATGTTCTCTATAGCGGTTCTCTGTAAGTGCTTATCTACAGAAGCTATGGCTTGATTGGGCAAAAAGCGCTGACAGCTAGAACGTCTTTTTTTTAAGAGTAAATGAAAGCTCAAGGGAGCCAAATCTGGGGAATAGGGTCAAAGTTCCAGCTTCATAGTAAAGATACCTCATTACCAAATTATACCTTTTTTAAATAGACAATTAACAAAATTCCTTTCGCTTCTTAAAACACCGATGTCATTGCCTTTTTCACCGATGGCACTATATTTCCTTTTGTGGAGCTGGCGAACCAGCTCCTATCCATTCTTAGAATGCGTCAAATACTCAGCAATTACCTTGTTCAAAATTTTGTCTAATATGAAATAATTAACACGTAAATGAATTTAGATGGGTGTTGAACCTTGTTTTACGAATAATTTTGTCACTAGACGCTATTCTTTTTTTCTCACCAAGCGCATTAAAGTGACTGCTTACAGTCACAGTCACATGAAATGACTTGAAATTTTACATGGCCCGCATGAGGTCGCTCGCAAATTAAATCGCTTTAGTAAGTTAGAAATCATTCTTGTGGCGTGGGTCAATCAGTATGATGTATCAATAAATGCTTTATATGAATCTGAATGCTGGAAATTATTCTAGGTAGCTCTGTGAATGTTATTTTGATATTTTTAAATTACATATCTAGTATCTAGATTTTTTTATGTTTAGTATCCAAACTCAGTTGTTATTAATAGTTTAACGATCTATTTTACCAATATTATTAATAAAGCTTTTTTATTTTGTTAGTTGTTTTGATTTACTTTAGCGAATATGTAGTAAGGATAAAAACCTTGAACATACACTTCCAATAAAATCGTACCGTTTTAAGACTATGGGTCGTACGTACTTCACGCCGGACCGAATGAGAACCAGTAGAGCTGGCAACTTTAGAAATAAATACAGCACATTTCAGATTATTAGATCTAAAAATACACATGATACCCAGTGAGTATTAAATTTTTCATAGTCCTATTTGCAGGGTTCGTAATAAAAATTAAGCAACGTCAAGATTTACAAACAAAATAAATTGTAATCAGTATATGGGTAAGAAAAAAGCGGAGTTCGGTTCTGCATCGATAACTATAATGTTGTATTCAATATGGGCTCCGAATATTTTTAACAATAACAAAGTTTAATGTAAGTTATAAATTGTGAATCTCAGTGATATATTGAAACAAACTCTTTACATAATATCCAGTTAAATTAGCATTAAAGTCAGCAAATTGCAATTATTTGTTATTTTTAACAATAAACAAATCATGAATTTGAATGACCATTTCTATTTGACCATGATTTTATGAATAATCATGGTCAAATAGAAATACAAGGTGAAATTGTCAGAGCAAGAAGGTTAGTTAAACCAGCGGAACGACTTATGCTCTCCGGCGTATGTCCTTCAATACCGCACGACTTGCTAATCAATGAGTTACAAAAAATCGGCATAGTTCCTGTCTCCCCCATGACATTCATCAAAATTAGTGCTTCTATGCCTGAGTACAATCATATCTTTAGTTTTCGAAGACAAATCTATATCAGTCCTCACAGTCGAACACTACCAGTCATTTACTCTTATTTTTGACAACACAGTATATAGAATATTCATTTCTCAAGACAATTAGTTTGCTTTAGATGCAAGAAGCCAGGTCACATTGCTTCACACTGCTCCGAACCACTAACTCAACTGAACCCCAACTAAAACAATGAAGCATCAGTATCCAGGGCAACAAATATATCCTTGCAAGCGCCCAATGACACAAACCATTCTCAGAATGAACAAATGTCTATTTCTAATATCCTGGAGATACCGAACAAAGTAGATACATCAAATAAGGACACTCACATAATTAATCAACCAAAACGTAACTTTGATGAAATTATTTCACCTGAAGCAGATCCATCTTCTTCAAAGAAAGTAACATTTTTCCACCACCTAAAATCTAAAAAAGCTAAAATTAGTTCAGCAAGCACTTCTGAATGCTGATTTTCTCTCTTACTTGACCCTGCTAAAAACTTCATAGAAAATCACCCTCTACCTTTCCCTCTAAACTTTGATCAACTTAACATGCTCCTAATGAATATCACGGGATCAACAGATCCTATAACCACAATTCAAGAATATACCACAGACCTAATAGCTTTGTCTCTTATGCTCAGTCAAGTTTACTCCCATTTAAAGGAAAGATCCATGAAACTTAAATTCACGTCCATAAGGAAAAAAATCCATAATTATCTTGACAGTAGGGCATCGGACGCGGCATGAGACACTTCTCAATTAAGTTAACATTACAATTCAAGTCTCTACTTCAATGGATAATCGATGGACTTTTCCATCGCCTTGATATGCGCCAACATCTAATCGGTGAACAATCTCCTGATGTAATATGCCTATAGGAAACTAATACTAGTGCGCGTAACGCTATCACAGTGACGCATCAGAAACAGAGTGTCGGAGTGTCACAGGCGATCTAAAAGTTTATTTAAAACATCAGGTGTTAAGTGCGTGGAATCGGGAGTGAAATGGCTCTACTTCGAAATTCAGAACCATCAAAAGTGACATATTTTCATGGAAGTCCACAGCCAGAAGTAGAAGATGCCAAATTATAATTACACGTTTACGACTTGGACACTGTAGGTATACTCACGCCTATCTCTTCTCAAATAGTGAACCAAAATGCGAAACATGCAATACAGTAGACAGTATAAAGCACTTCTTGATAGACTGTTTTAAATATGTAAATCAAAGACAGTTTTACAATTTGCTAAATAATCTGAAAGCACTCCTCAACAAAAGTTTAGTTCCGGACAATTTATTAGGTTAGGTTACTTAAAATATATAAATATGTTACACAAAATTTAACTTAATTAATTGTTACAAATGTTCAATTGTTCACAAATTGTAACTAATTGTTACAAATGTTAAATTTAATATTATTACAAATGTTACAGGAATGTCGCTAATAACCTTTGGGTTGATGCGACTTTGTCTCTTTAAATAAAAAAAGAAAAAAGCAATGTCAACATTATAATGGGCGATTTTAATGCCAAAGTCAATAAGCGTTGATGCTGTACCGTAAAGCGGAGTTATTTTATCAACCGTCGGGCAACTTTGCACCATACATGTAAACATGATTTATTCGATAAAGGGCAATATAAGAATTATTGGAAAAACCTTAGATGCTTCTGCCGTCAACCAAACGCCGACAGGTTGAGTCTACAAGATAACTTTATAAATTTATATTACTCGTTCTGTGGAAAAATCTTAATTGTAAGAAGCCCCCGATTGATTACAACATAATGTAAGTAAAATCCTTTTCACATGTACTACTACTGTGTTAATTTAGTAAAATGACAACAAACTAATATCAGTAAACATTATTTCAAATGCTTTATTGTATTTGTGCACATTTCATGTTGACATATGTAAACTTTGGCACTAAACATTTTTATCTTATTTTATTGGATGCCAGGAGTGTATAAGAGGGTCTCAGTTTCTCTGAGATATGGCGACTACACATAAGAAAATTTACAAATATGATTAGGAGTAATTAAAACTGGAATGAGTACCAGATTAGCCAAAGAAGCTTAAAATATACAACAATATACAATAGACAACCATCATGAATATATTAAAGAACAAATAACACATGAATAGACCAGGTTATCCTGCTACATTTACAAATTAAGGTGAAAGGATATTTGTTTCTTGCATTTATTAACTGAGCGGGTCTGGGTTCCCCGTGTCTGAAATGAATATTCGGTAAATAACCAGGATATATTTAAATTAAAAAGACACATTAACCATTTTATTTGACTTCAACAAGTAGGGTAGTAATCCGTTTTAAAGATACTCTTCCTGGTAACTGCTTGGTAAAGGTTTGCAACTAACACTAACAGGAATATGAAAGCTCTGAATGCTTATTAAATGCAGGTTTATGCAGAAAAGCTGAAGCAGACCTTGGAGCGAATTTCACTACATGTAATTATATATTACAACTATGAAATAAATTTGACAGAGAATCCAGATCAATTTTTTTTTAACCAAATGTTGTATAAAATATCTAGAAAAGATAATTAATTCATCAAAAACTTGATGAATCAGGGTGGTAGGTGAAATTATGCCACCTTATGTGGTCTACAAATATAAAATTTGTGTCACAGAATGGTCCACCCGGTACTCGCTACGCCAACACAGCGTTTGGGTTGCTTTTAATACATTGCAGTGGGGTCACGTAATAAGTTCTTGAGAAGCAAGGAACTGTCCTGGTTATATGAGGAATGTGCTCACTCATTATCTTTCCGAGAGGAAGATTGTGGTGGACAATGGTGTGACTGTGGATGTAACGGCTGGGGTCCCGCAGGGCTCCGTCATGGGTTAGACGCTGGAGAACCTGGCATATGCCGGGGTCTTCAACTGCGCATATGGGAGGGTATTACCCCCTTCGCATTTGCGGACGACCTTGCTATGCTGGTGGAGGCACGGGATGGGGAGAAACTCTTGCTTCGGATTACGCCTGCGTGTGTCTTCGTTGAGGATTGGATGAGCGAGCACGATCTTTTTCTCGCGGAGAATGGGACGGAGGCTGTAGTACTCAGAGACTACAGAAAGAGAGATCGGATTAAATATGGGTGCGCGGGAGCGAGAGTCAATCCCAAAAAGTACGTCAAGTATCTGGGAGTTACCCTCCACCAGGCTGGGAGTTAAGGGGAACATTTGAGGGGAGTGATCTGTAGAACTATTCAGAAAATGGCTGCGCTGGGGACGATAATGCCTAATATTAGTGGGCCCAAGTCCGAAAGGAGAACAACTTATAAGAGGCTCATGGACAGAACTAGTC